ATGTATGGGGAGGCGACAATGTATTCTTAAGCCGTCGCCCCACGGCTAAATCCATCCATCCGTAAATGTGGTTCAAACCAGCCAACAAATTGAGTAAAATAAAGTAAATAAGTAATAATAATAACTTTATTGATAGCCTTTACAAATACCTTAGAAATAATTACTATCGCACCTCCCGCCAACGGAGTAGAGTCCATTCCCACATCTTAGATGCCTGGCATTGTAACACCACGAGGGCATCTCGTTCATTCCTTCCTCCAACCTGCAAGATAATAACGCACACACTCAACATAGCCCCGCACTAGGGAAACCCTGTGTCGCGGGTGCCATGGACACACACATAGACAACCACAAATTACACTCAAACTCACGAGAGAAATAAATGTAGGTCATACAAATATTTCTCTCGGCCCGGGAATCGATCTTGGCACCTGAGCGTGGCAGTCCGGCATGGTAACGACCACAGAGGCAGTTAGGATGTATGTGGAACGATCTTCCTCCTGTTGTATTTCTTTGCGCCATGACATGGGCTTCTTCAAAAAGCATAGGCATAGGCAGCTCATCTGATATTGCAAATGTTCACGGGCGACGATGACCACCTCCCATTAAGTGGTTCGTAAGCTCGTTTGCCTACTTCTTTACATAAAAAAAAATAGTTATTGGATGATTGCTGACCAGTCAGACAAAAGGATTGAATCTGTGTTAGCGGATAGTACTGTTGCCGCAACAGCGGGCAATCGTGGCATAACTTGTATGGACTTTGAGACCAAAGTTCATGTAAGTTATTAAGTTAGCAATATGTTACTACGTTGGTATTAGGATTAGTACAGTATAGTTATTCTAGATAATGTAATTGATCCGTGTCTGTGAATAGAAAATATGAAATAAAATGTTTCTTTGAATTACTGCCTCTTTGTTTGTATGCAGTACAATACAATACACAAGTGCAAATATATTATAACGTGTTTGTCAAACTTTCTGATCGTCTGCGGTCGTGTTTGATGTATTTCAAATAATATATGTGTTTGATGGAAATCTATATTGACGGCGCGTTTGACAAATATGTTTGAACGTATGCGGGTATGTTTGTCAAAACAAATTTCAGTTGTCACCTATGCGTTCACCTTGCTAAATAGTTAATAGAATATTTCTTTTAACAAATTTTCGTGGATATAACCATTCTCTATACCAAAGTGTATTTATTTTTTTCTTAATAAACTTTGTAAGAAACTGCTAGAAACGTCTTATATATTATTCTTACTCATTCTCATTGCACAAATTACAAACAGATGCGACTTAATGTATTAACTATATAATGCGGTAGAAAGAGATGGCCGAATGTGAATTTCAGACAAGTTTGTCAAACTTGTTTGGTGGCTTATTTACTTACACTATATTTTTTCCTCTAAGAGAAAACGTGAAGTTTGAAGGATAAATTTAACCAATTATTTGATCGTGTGAGGGACAAGACGCTGAAAAGACATTGTGGGCGTCCGTGGTCGAGTAGCTAGCCTACAGGTTTTCATGGTGATGCCATCTCTGGGCTCGATTCCCAGCCGGGTCAGTGTAGAAAAATCAAGATGAAAAGAAAAAGTGACTTTTCTATATTGTCTCGGGTCCGGGTGTTTATGGTACATATGTAACAAGGAGCTTGGTTTATACTTTGAACTGTCTGAATAAAGATAGGTTTGTATTTAGAATTGTATAAAAATAAAGGAGCATTGTGGTAAAACGAACATCGTGGTTGTATAGACTAATTTTATTTATGATTATTTTCCTCGTTTCTTCTTGAAAAGTGCCTCTCGCTATGTTAACCCACGGCTACGACCTTTACAGTACAGTCTTTGTTTCCGATTACCATAAAACAAGTGCTTTAACTTACTTACTTTGGGAAATATTTATTTATTTATCATTTATTTGGTGAGCGGCTAGAGAGTGGAATTCCCTGTCTGCGAACGTGTTCCCCGAACGCTATAACTCGGATCTTTGGAGATTAAATGCCCACTTATTTTTGTATAAAAAAGATATATAACGTAATTAACTCTATATTACAAATGATATATTTACCAAGACAGGTGAACCTTCTTCGATGAGCAAGTTTCATTAGCGGAATTCGTTAGTGAAAGATTTTGTAATCTTATCTTACGTACGTAAGATCATTGAACTAAATATTCACATGACCAGCGGTAGATGTCCCAACAGGGATTCAAATCGTCAACCTCTCAGTTGAAAAGCAACAGTTCTACCACTGGGCTATCACCGCTGTCGCCGCCATGGGGCAATCTATACGCTTCTGTATAAAGATTACGGTAGATATTCAAAATCACTTACGAGGTTCAAACTATGATGAACAAAAACTTTACAATTATTAAATACAAAAATCGAATACAAAGAAAAAATCCTTCAGGACTAACAGGACTCGAACATGCAACCACGGGATTTCGTCCTCATTGCTTTACCAATTGGTCGAGTTTACTAAGTCGACGAATTGCTTCGGTCTCTGTTATGTATTTGCGTTGAAATTTCAACTTTCAACGATTGTATTTAATAATTAAAGCAAACTAGTGGAATTTTTTCACAAAAAAATCTAAAAAAACAAAGTTTTTATTTAAGTATATTTTTTTTATATATTTCAGCATAAAGACAACAGCTTTACTTACAGCTTCTGCAAATTTGGCAAAAATCCATAGTAAGTAGTAAACCGTTTAGCTCTTGCAGTTTGCCTCAATCTAAACATTGTAAATCATGAATTTGTACAAATGTTTATTTTCAAGGAACAACCACTAGTGATATCAAGTATAATTTGCTTAACTATGAATTACAGATTGGGTTTGAGTTCCCTGAGTAGGTAATTAAAATTTATGTTAGAGCGTGTGCAAAATATGCTCAACAGTTTTACCAGCTGTGATGGAAATCATTATACAATTGCAATTGCAAAACATTAAATGAATTGTATACTTTTGTGTGCTGCTTATGTCGTAGGGTAAAGCATGTGACGACTAGCTGGCAGGCGATAGTGACAATGACGTCGTGGCGACTCTCCCATAGTTTTCACTGTTGTCTTCATGTCAATCAAGCCCTGAGAATGCTGACAAAGGCTTGAAGGTGAAACACTTTGCAATGTTATTTCTTTTTTAATTACAACATTCTTTTTGCTATTAGTTAGGCTAGTTAGCTGCAATGGCAATTTTAACTAAATAGTTATATAACAAAGTACTTTTATAAAGTTGAACATTTTCCCTGTGCTCTTTAAAAGATATATTTATATAAATACTTGTTTCATAGTAGGGTCATCATGGTCTCAATCAGGGTTGTAGATGACGCAGGTTTTTTACATATCCGCGGTTACTGATGCCTATGCTGATTTTTCAGGAGGACGTCTGATATTTTATTCATTCATTTGGAAATTCAGCATTGTTGTGTTCCGGTTTTGAAGGGTAAGGGTGCTGGTGAAATTACAGGCACATAGGACTTGTCAACATATGTCTCAGGGTGACGGGCGCAGTGGCAGTGCGCTTCAGATCTTTGCAATTTAAAGCTCTGAGTGGCACTGCAAGTGTTATAGACAGGCGTGTAACTTCCCATCAAGCGTACAAGTTGTTTCTCCCGTCATTTGATATTATCCCCAGTGCTGGACACGGATCTCTTCACCCAGGCGAGGGTTTGGGCCATAGTCCGCCACTCTGGCCTAATGGGGGTTGGAGACTTTACATGTTTTCCGAGTGTTGTGAACCTTCTTCGACGTGCAGTATTCATCACGGTGTTTTCGTTTACCGGAAAGCTAATGGTAAAAAAATGGATTTTAGCATGATTTTAGCACATCTTTTTATATAATACCAACTGAAGGGACGAACAAGTCGTGTACCTGGTGGTAAGCGACACGCCTATCAATTGCAGTGCCACTCAGAGCTTTTGATTGCAAAGATTAAAGGGCACTGCTGCTGTGCCCGTCACCCTGAGACATAAGTTGACAAGACCCTCTTAGCCTTCAAAACCGAAAATAGGTAAGGTGGCAGTACTTTCCAGGACGAACTATTTTACTAGGAGCTCTACGGCTGTTAAACAAATTCTGAAAAACTCAGAGGTGCGAGGCGGGATTCGAGTCCACGGCCATTGCTTGAGAGACGGTAGGTCAAACCATTAAGCTATCACGGCTTAGGGAGTCGAAAATAGATATCCATAATAATAATTAGTAATCTCGTCTCCATAACCTAAAATTATTACAAAATAATATTAAAACTCTTGTTTGTCGTCAACAATCATCGAACAAATAGGTACACATATAACAAGAATACTTAACTACGAAATTGTAATTGATTCGGCATTTGAATGTACATAAATAAGCTTGAACGGCAAAATCTATGTGTAAGGTTCATGCAGGTGGCCGAACGGTTACCATGCCGGATTCCCACGCAGAGGTCCCAGGTTCGATTCCCGGGCCGAGAGAAATATTTGTAAGGCCTCGTTGACCGCACGGCCTACATTTATTTATCTCGTGATTTTGGGTGTAATTTGTGGTTGTCTATGTGTGTGTCCATGGCACCCGCGAGATATTTATTTATTTATCTTTGGCCTTCGTAAATATGATCGAATCTCACACTATCGCAGTCAGCTCAAGCGGCTTCCCATTCGTCTCCGCAGGAATTTGCATATCGTCTCTCTTTTTTACAACATTCTACATAATCCTTTTCGGTTTCAGCTTTTTTAGGTCCCAGGATAAGCCTTGTCGCTCTCTCGTTAGGTACCAGTTATCTTTACCATCATTCAATTCCGGTTTTTATTCTCACCCCTTTACTGTTCATGCGGTCAGATTTTGGAACGCACGTCCCATTACTGTACATGACAGTAAATCCTTATATATATTGAAAATAAGATTCAAGGGGCTCTGTTCGATCCAGTTTATAGATATTATAATATGAAATATGTATTTATCTAAGTATTTAAACAGACTAATAATTTTGCTGTTCTTTTTTAATATTATTTTATTACATAATTTAATTTTGTTTTGTTGTGCACGTAAACCCGTTATCATAATTATTGTGTCCTTTATTTTGGTCTGCAGGAAGAAATTTCTTATAGAAATAAGCAGTACTTTTTGTTTGTGTTTCCCGTTTTACTAAATGTGATTTTTGTTTTCCTTTACAATAAATAATTAAATAAATAAACTCCGAGACATCGACTGCATGCAGTCTAAACCGGCTTCATGCAGCCGAGATCGACTGCATGCAGTTAATGCGTGAAGTTGTTATCAACTATCTGTTAGTGGCCTAAATATTACGTTAGATGTTTCAAATTTAATATCGATATTGAGAAGAGCATGTTATGTGGATGCAATTACATGAAATTTAATTATATAACAATTGTGACAGAGAACGATTTCAGAAGCTGGGCAACAACGGTTTACCTGGTCCAGATTTGGAAATAAGTTGATTAGTAGGTCGGTCTTGATGCCAATTTTGTGAATTGCGTCATTCAAATTTCGCTGTTTTACGCAGCTTATTCGGTTCATGGTGATTTGCATGATGAATTTCAAATACAAATTGACAAATTCATTCTATTTGGTTTTTTGTCCTTCATAATCGTTGCCAAACAGATTTAAATAAAATAATTAACTAAATCTATTTCGTTTCAATGTTGTGCACAGGCTCCTCCATACCCGGCAGTTTTTATTATTTAAATACTGAAGTACATTATCGTGTGATTAATAAATAATATTTCAAGATACAATACTCGAATATTAAATAGTATTGCACGGTGACCAAAATCGAATACTTAAAATTTTGTAGCAGTCCCTGTGAAAAAGTTCGCCCAGGGAAGTACTGCCACGGTTTCTGCCGCCAAGCAGTAATGTAAGCATTACTGTGTTCCGGTTTGGAAGGGTAAGGCTGCTGGTGAGATCCAGGCACATGAGACTTGTCAACTTATGTTTCAGGGTGACGGGTGCAGTGGCAGTGCCCGTAATTTTTGCGATTTAAAAAGCTCTGAGTGGCTTGTAACTGTTATGGATAGGCGTGTCGCTTACCATTAGGACTACACCCTGTTCGTCCCGTCACTTGATCTCATAAAAGAAAAATTCAGAATCAAGTACTAGGCTACCGCCGCTGTGGTAGTAACACTATTACAGATTGTGGTACTGTTTGCATTGACTTACAAATAAATGGACGACGGGTCTAATACAAAAACCAAGAAAACAATGTCCCAAGTCAACCTATTTAAACGTAGTGACATGTAAAGGAATATGAAAAAGAAGAAACGTTGAATTTAAATTGTAATGTCATCGCAGTACTGTCTAATTTTGCTTGCTTCGCTGTCATTCGACCAAACGAAGACTAAAGCGTGAATGACGCTCTGTATACGATTTTAACGCCCTATAAGTTCGGACACTTTTTAGCGCGGACCCGACGTCCATATAGTTGTAAGTCTATGAATTCAGTGGTAATTTTTTGTATATAATTCTTTATTTCATCTGGTACTTTATTACAAATGTTCATGCATGTGTAGTAAGGGCTTTTTAAGCACAGTGTAGTTCTAGATACGTGCTTTACAACACATCTATTTGGGTTTCTTTTCGAGCATGGGTTCATTTCTGTTGCTTTTTTAAATTGTTGTGGACGCTGCTTGACAATGTTACAGAGAGTGTGCAAAGATGCTCAGTTAACATAAGAGCCTTCAACCCGGGTGGATCAATCCATAATGGAAAATTGTTGCAATAAAACCATGATAAGCCAAGCAAGTAACCTTTTTGGGAGTAATTCGTCTTAATCTATGGAGGATACGAAGCTGTTTGTTTCGCTGTAAATGCTGTCAATCTATTAGCTTGCCTATAAATTTAATAAACTGTACCTTTAGTATGTTCTTAGCTCACAACAGAGATCGAGACTCAGCTTCCTGAAGGAAAGAAATGTTAGCGAAATCTAGAATACTCTAGCCCCTCTCTTGGAACGATATAGAAAGAGACGGAGTGGCGCGTCAGCGGCTTCTGGAACGGGACGGTGCAAACAATGGAGGGTCTGGATATTCGCAAAGTGCATTCATGTATGGCATATATAAGTATTGACTTGCGCATCGGCTTTCATTGTTAGTCTGTTGTTAGCAACAAACGCATCATTTTCGCGCACCTGTGGGAAAGCGCGCCAATTTTCCGCGATCGTGTTGCGACGTCGCAATCGAAGCCTTTTTTCGTGTGGGTGTACTTCTTCGCACGCTTCTCTCCGCGCTTTTTGCCCGCGGCTTACACATGTTAAGTTGTGCTTTTCACTGCATTGTCTAGACGACAATACATTATAATGGATTGCCGAGCTGTGGTGAGTTTTTGCTCGTATGTATATGAGAATCTATTAATGTTAAATTGTATCGGCTTGTTCGTAATTAAAAGGTAATTAAATTCTATCTTCTCATCTTACAAGATGCTGCGGCGGATGATAGTAATATGTTAGCGGATAACTTGATTGTAAGCTATTAAGCGTGACTTTCATTGCGATAACAATGACTTCTGTAACTTAATTACTAAGGTATGCTAATATAACTAAGTGATGATTGTTCAAGTATGATATGGTTATTGCCACTCGACTATTGTTTTAACTGTTTATTGAAGGTCTTTTTTAGTAATTTTTACATTAATGGTTTTTAGAGTTTTATATTGCGTTGTTGTATCGTTAAAACTGTTTGTTGTGTTATTTTCAGTTGCTATTTGGGCTGGCTGTCCTCTTTGTGTTGGTCGTGACACAAGTTGATGGGTAAGTAAGTTGCGTTTGAAATGCTGTTGCTGACGCGTTACACAGAAGAATCTGCAGTGGTAACAACGTTCGGATCTGATCAACTTAACTTAACTTTCTTGCTATTATTGCCAAAAATTTTGATTCCGGGAAAGTTCAAGTCGCCTTACTTACTTCTGCCGCCTAGTAGTAATGTTCGTGTGACTGCGTTCCGGTTTTGAAGGGTAAGGGTGCTGGTGAAATTACAGACACATGAGACTTGTCAACTTGTGACAACTCGGTGACAGGCGCAGTGGCAATGTCCTTCAGATCTTTGTGATTTAAAGCTCTGAGTTGCATTGCAACTGCTGATATCTTATAACTTGTTGATATCTTAAAAAAACCTTGAGAGTAACTAGTATTTTAACGTGAATGAGACTATAAACTTAATCAGAAAGATTGAAATTAGATTCCCGATAGGATACAGAGTAGATGTTGAGTTATTATTCATTCTGTTGTGAAATTTAGGACCAAAACAGGAGAAATTGCGGCCCTGCATTCAAGGTGATATTTTCCAACCTCTTTATATGATGTTTATAAACTCCATACCTTACCAGACGCCAAGGTGTATTACAGAACGAGATAATAAATTGCACTTTAATTGAATTGAAGGCCTGCGACTTAAAAAACACCCTAGAGGTATCAGTCTAATTATATGGTATGGTATCAACATGGATACCACCAATATATTCGTTTGAATAATAAACATTAAATAAGTTAGTTTAAAAAGTAAAAAAAAGGATTAATTAATTTGTATTAAGTCCTTGACAATGTGGTATTTAGGAAATGAAACTATTTTTCCGGATTTAAATCGCGTATAAGTATTTGTTTTTTCAAACAAACCGACGTTTCTGTCCCTTTACAGGTCCCATGGTCACAGTTGACATTTTGGTTGACGGTTTGTTTCAAAAAACAAATATACGCGATTTAAATCCAAAAAAATAGTTTCATTTCTTATGTGTAACCATCGCGAAAACCTAAGAACGCGATAATCTGATATTAGCCCCACCCAATAGGTATACCAACCACACCATTAAAATCGGAATTTCATTTTTTATATCATTAATTTCGGTATCATTTCGTGGTAGCGATTCTAAATTCACGAACGTACAATAAGATTCGAAGCTAAAACGGTGATCGTTGCTTCGTATTTCGTGGTAAACCTCGAAGGTCTTAAATTGTAAAGCGTGGTAAATATTTCCATATTAGAATACGTTCGTCGTGTAGCACGTCGAATGACCTGTATTAAATCTTTAAAATTAAGTCTATATCTTACGTTGTCACAAATAAAGTCCCTTTTTGGCGTTATTCGCCATAATGTTTATAAACCTGACATTGGTAAAAATCATAGTGGAATTCGATGAAGCGATTATAAAGAAATTGGATTATTTTGTTTTACAATTTATGGTTTCCGTGGAATTGATGCCATTGAAAAGTTACAATACCACACCACGCCCTATAGGACCACGGCATTTTGTTGCTGCAATTATTTTTTTGAGGATGTTATATAGCTTGTTGTCGTTTATCGTCCTGACACGAAACTTGTACGTGACATATATTAAAACTGTAAAAGAAACATTCCGGCGTATTGTATTCACGGTTTTAGTAATTATTGAGTACGTAATTAACTAATGCCCCTTCCTAATCGGCGGGCGGTGAAGAAATCGTGGTATAGGCACTCACGCGCAACGCACGAGGAAGCTTCCGAAATTACTGACCAACACCGGAAATGGACAGTTTTACCCTACCTACGATATTGTTAATTCTTGACTGTAACGTCTCTTTTTGGGCACTCAACTGGTTAGTTTCGCTTTAGAGTTTGTAATTTCACGTCGGAGTTATGATTTTGGGAAATTATAGGGTCAGTTGTTTCTATGTAGATATATACAATGTGTATGTTATCGGCAATGTATGAAATAAACTCTATTGTACACTTGGTCTAAGTACTCTATACAATGCCGAACTTGTGTTAGGCAACGTATAAAATTGATTAAATATAAGTAAATATTAGACAATATCACATATGTTGCTATGATCACAAAGTAAGTAGCTATAGTACTTGTGTTATGGAAATCGGAAACAACGACGGTACCTTAAACACCCAGACCGGAAACAATATAGAAAAGCCAGTTCTATATTGACTCGGCCGGGAATTGAACCCGGGACCTCGGAGATGGAGATACCATGGAAATCGGTGTGCCAGGCGCTACACTAGTGAGGCCGTCAAAAGTAGTAGGTGCATAAAGAAACTGCTTGTGTGTTAAGAATATTTTATACACGTTCTAAAGTCACAATAGCTCATTTAGTTAGAATAAGTAGGTAATTAGAAGAAAAGGTAGTTAAATTACAAATGATATTTGCTTAAGAAAATTATACGCACTGTCAATATTTGTTTCTCGAAAGTTACAATTTAGGGCTGTTATTAAATAGCCCTAAATTGTAGTTCTAAATGTTTATGGATATTGATCCACATAAACATTTGTTAGACAAACACTGTATACATCCTCGGGAACATTGTCACTTAATATCAGATGATATTGTGGCCAAGCGCGATTTATTTACGTAGTTTTTTTTATAACATCAAGAGACGTATAAGTTGTGCACCTGATGGTAAGCTACACGTCTGTCCATAATAGTTACAGTGCCACTCAGAGCTTTAAATTGCAAAGATCTGAGGGGCACTAGCACGGCGTCCGTCACCCTGAGACATAAGTTGACCAGTCCCATGTGCCTGTAATTCCACCAGCGCCCTTCAAAACCGAAACACAGTACTGCTGACATTACTGCTTGTCGATTTACATTATCCTGCACGAACTCTTTTACAAGGAGCTCTACTGCTACTACTATATTTATAGCTAATAGTGTAGATCTCAAATTCACGAAATTATAAATAAATAATCGTTACGAAAATCCAGAACAATAGTTAATGGGTAATCCTCATGTTTACAAACAAACAATCGAAGAGAATCGTCCGTCACGATTACTAGTTTAGAAATTGAATGGGTGATAAAACTTTCATAGATTTCTCATAGATGGCGCTAGGATTAAAAAGTCGTTGAAAAACCAAATACAAAGACACGACAACAAGCACATAGAAAAATTCGTGAGGTCCGCTGGTTCGTTCCGTGGCTTAGTTGGTATAGCGTCTGGCACGGTATGCTAGAAGACGTCGGTTCGAATCCGGCCGGGTTTTCTGAGTGTTCGATCTATGTATTAATAATTATATTATTATATATATAAATATATTATTACAGCTGTATACCGCAATTTGAAAAACTGAGATTATTAACAGTTCCTTTAATATATATATTTGAAACGGTTCTTTTTATTCGGAGAAATCTCACACTCTTCAGCAAGGTGGAAAGTACACGAAGACACAATAAATTGAAACTGGTTGCCTGTAAGACTACCCTCTTTCATGATAATATTTGTGCGATGGCGCCAAAACTATACAATAAGCTGCCTAATTATATACTTGAGACTAACGACAATGCCAATTTTAAAAAGCGATTATTTAATTTATTGACTGGGAAAGCATATTATAAAGTCAGCGATTACTTAAATGACAAGAACATAGAATAATAGTTAACCACCACAAAATAATGACATAAACATAATTAAGAATTAAAATTAAAATTAAGATTTGACATTTTGTAATTAAAATGTAGTAGTATACTCTTAATTTAATTATGTAAATTGTATGCCGTAAAATTGGCAATACGTACTGACACAACAATGTTAAATAAGACCTTATAGACGTGCGTACACAATAAATGATTTCAATTGAATTATAACAAAGTAGTGGAGTGATTTCACAAAAAAAGCGATTGAATATCAATTCTATAAAAATTTGGTATTGAATTGTATTTACTTTCACGGTAGATCTGTAATGCTATTATCACAGCTTCTACTGTAGACTTAATTTTCCCAGCTACAACTTCGATTGTAACTTTGAATTCTAAGTTTTTCTATAATTGACTTATGGTGCGAATTAAATTAATCAGCGCGTATCCATGTTTGACAAAACACATTTTTTGTAAGGGCGCGTTTCCATTATGTCGTAACGTTTTGTTTATCGTTGGACCACTGGCGCGTTTAGCCTGTTCCCATATCACGATTGTCTGCCGTGATTGTGTAGTAGACGTTTATTTAGTCGTTGAACGACTGTCGTGTCCAGCTGGTCCCACTAGATTGTTATGACAATTTATCGGTTCACGGCAGCCACCTTGTCGTTTGCACGACAGAATCATTTAAAGCTGCGATTATCTGTCGTCACATTTCTGCCACATTTCGTTTTATTTATCGTCAGGCGATTGTTCGTGAAGGCGACTGTCGTTCTAGCTCTTCCACGGTTACGACAGTCCGTCGTAATCATGTCAAAAAAGTGAATATAATAGTGAAATATGTAAACAACTTCATTTAAATATACAAGACACGACACTTTAAACTGCGACTATCTGTCGTCACGACAAAGAGCGTTCCCTAAGTTGCTACTGTGGGCTGCGCCTAATCATTAGATATAAGAATATGACATAGGACGGACACGTTGTCGGATTGACCGTAAGGTTATGGAAAAGTCTTTTGACGTTAAAGTTAAATAAATGCAATGTTTTATTTGCATTCAATAAGTATACGAAAATAGTATAAATCATATAATCGTAAACCTCGTACAGTCAAGAGCACGTCGAGCTTGACACTATGTACTTTGGACCGTTCTTATCGTAAGCGGTTTAGGGTTGGATTTAAGTCTTAAGTGTCAAGCTTAACGTACTCTTGACCCTGTACCCCCATTTAATGTGAACTTTTGATTTGGCACAAAAAACAGAATGACTAGAAATAATTATATAACAATCTACAATTACACATTTATTTTATACGTAAAATTAGAAATGATATTTTAAGCTTTAAATGCCCGGTATTTCGCCTAAGCGGTTTTCAAAGTTAGCTGACAACACGTGAAATTGTTCTTAGATACATAAATAATAAATTGTCAAACACGACACAATTGAGCAAAATAATAATTAAAATGAAAATATTTACGAACAAAACTGGTTAAACTGCCAGCACAAAGGACGCGATAGCTTCTGCCGGCGCAGGGGCAGTTCTCCTTAGACGTTTGCGACTTAAACTGTACTGCTTTCTACCAGGCGAATGATTTCGTCTTGTTTTCACTTCGTATCACATAAACACATAATGCACAAATTATGAATAAACCCGGGATCAAATAGCGGTTGCGATTATTATTGTTCGAAGGTCGATGACAATTGAGGCACTGCCCCTTTTACTGTAGGGAAGTTCTTCAGTAACTTGTTTAAAAGAGCGAACAATTTTCTTTAAGCGAATTGAATGGTACTTATCATTACAGACGCAGCAAAAAGGTGGTGATCCACGTACCGTACAAGGTGAAGAAGATAAAGCACATTCACACCGTATACAAGACGGTGCACCATCACCATGTCGATCACGCTCCTTTGGAGGAACACGAGCATTTCCACCACATGCACATACACGATGAGCCGCCCGCTGGTCAGCACAGTCACCCAGTTCCTGGTATCGGCATCCCTGAATTCCTGCCCGACGTACCTGACGTTCCTATGGAAATTCCTGATGTACCACATGACATATCAGTTCTGCCCAATCGGCACATCATCCCGCTTTACAGAAGAAAGAATTGATGGTAAGTTTTAATATTTTTTCTTTACACTTGCACGTATATAGTATGATTGCATGCAGGCTAACTTAACTGTAATGGCCCAAATAACACTCCACGGTCGTTTTTCTTCTCACTATACAGCCATGGATGTGTCATACTATTTACTCGCAAATGTGAAAAACGTTGTACGTTTCACTTGTAGTGCGAGAATTACGAACCTCGACTATGAAAGCCATCAGTCTTCAATTTCCGGCTTCTAATAGAGTCTCCTTCGTCGTATTCCTTATTTACCGCCCCTAAAACACAATGTACTAATATTTTGTTTAAGCAAGTTTGCTGCTTTTCAAGAATGAATTCCCAAATCAAATTAATAAGTTTTTAATTACATTACACAGCGGTCTTCAGAATTAGCTTCATTTTTTTTGTGGATACGTAATGGAACTTTCATTGGTTAAAACAAATAACGTGACTATGTTGAACTGGTATATGATTCGCAAGCTTATCTTTAAATCATCTTCCTGATCAATTAGTATTTTTGATATAGATCAAAATGTTACAAAAGATTAATTGTAAAAGTTAAGGCCCTGTTCGTGGTAAGCAGGTTTGACTTTGCGTGTTGGTAGAGGTGTTATTACACATCACAGTTCTTGTCTCAGTTTGAATGTATGTGTCACACATCAATCAAATTATTATGATTGGTATTATATATTTTTTATCTATAATCAATCTTTATATTATGGATTATTTTGTAATAATATTATCTATTAATAATGAATAGAAGATTTTTATATTTAGACGAGTTTATATTGGTCCTCCTATCTGAAAGCAACGAATAGTTGCAAAACATACTTCAAGATCTGTACCAATCATCGATGTGGCCACCCACATCGATTCTGACCAAAACCAAGGTTATGACCATTGCGGGTCCTAAACATAATATAAATGTACGTAACAGCCCTATAGAGGTAGCGAACGACTACATCTATCTCGGTCATTGTCTATCCTTCGGCCCCGCTTCTCAGCTTTTAGAGGCAGACAGAAAGATAGGTGACATTAAGGTCGTAGTTGGAAACCACTGGACACGACTCGCAAGGGACCGGAAAGAATGGAGCAATAGACGGGAGGTCTATACTCAGCAGTGAGTGCAAACAGGCTGCAATGATGATGAATCAAACCTAAACCTGTCCTAACCTACCTAAACTCAAGTAGAGCTCCTTGTGAAAGAGTTGGTCCAGGGTAGTACTGCCACCTTACCTATTTCTGCCGCTAAGCAGTAATGTCAACATTACTGTGTTACGCGAAGGGTAAGGGTGCTGGTGAAATTACAGGCACATGGGACTTGTCAACTTATGGCTCAGGGCGACGGGCGCAGTGGCAGTGCCCCTTAGATCTTTGCAATTTAAAGCTCTGAGTGGCACTGTAACTGTCATGGACAGGCGTGCAGCTTACCATCAGGCGCACGACTTGTTCATCCCGACACTTGATGTTATAAAAAAATGTCTTGATGATTTGTTACAATAAAGAAAATGTCTAACTTAATACAATGGCGGACGATATATAGTCAGCAAATAGCAGCAATTGTGACAAGTATAAAAGTAATGATGCTATTGTTATACTTTGACTGTAATTTGCTTTGTTGCAGGAAAACAAACAAACGAGGAAGAAAGTCTGGAATGTTCGAAGCCATATAAGTTAGTTAACTTATTGAGAACGTATCGAGAGTACACAAGTTTCTTTTGTCAAAAGTTGTTTGGTGGTTTCTCCCCCTTAAATAATGCTATTCTGTGAAATGATGTACGTGTATATAGTTTTTTATACGAACCTGCTCTCGTATTCGGAAGATTAGCTAAAAATTAAGCCATAGTTATAATACCAGTAGTGCAACTCCCGGCTACTCGTTCCTCGGAGCGTAGGGTTCTCTCGTTACTATTTAAGTTGTATCTAAATTTGTAAAACTCTAAGTAATTTTTATTATTTATGTCAAATTACTCCACTAGTTTGTTATAATAAATAATAGTGCAGTAATTTCACAAGAATAATAAAAAATACAATTATTAAAGCGACATCTCTAGTCAGCTGCTGGTAGCTGTAAAGGCACCTGGCTGAGTGAAGAAATTTTTCACAGATGGCGCTGCGGCAAAAAGTCGTTAAAAATAAAAAAACAAAGATTTGCTATCAGCACATAGAAAAATTCGGAAGGTTCGTTCCGTGGCTTAGTTGGCAAAGCATCTAGCACGGTTTACTGGAAGACGTTGGTTCGAATCCAGCCGCATCGAAGTTTTTCTAAGTGTTCTTAAAGTACTCATCACAGTATTCTCGTACTCTTGAAATACCTAATCTTTATGAAATGCAGTACTTACACATTGATATTTTTATACTAACATCTTGGACTAGTGTCTTGGTAATTTTCAGGTAACTTGTCTCTACTTCATTTCGGTGGCAATTTTTATTAAGTATTCACTTTTATTATTAATATCTCAGGATATTACACTCTCGAATATTAAATAATAACTTCGTGTTAAGTGAGTAATATTCTAAAATAAATGGCTACGGAAATTATTATACAAATCTAGAAAACTCGGACCCCCTTCGGTTGCCGTGGAATCCAAGCAAATACGAATGTCGTTTGTACACCTAGAGACGAAATGATCCCTGTGACATTTCGGACCGTTATTTAATCAGATTCGGAACTGATACGAATTAGACGTAGCGCGTAGGTACACGCTCGAAAAGACTATATACAATCAGAGTACAATTAAATTGGTAACACCCTGTGAAACGATTTATGTTTCTGGGTTATCCATTGACTTACAAATAAATGTACGACGGGTCTAATACAAAAACCGCGAAAAAAATGTCCCAAGTCAACCTATTTAAACGTAGTGACATGTAAAGGAATATGAAAAAGCTAAAACGTTGAATTTAAATTGTAATGTCATCGCAGTACTGTCTAATTTTGCTTGCTTCGCTGTCAGTCGAACAAACGAAGACTAGAGCGTGAATGACGCTCTGTATACGATTTTAACGCCCTATAAGTTCGGACACTTTTTAGCGCGGACCCGATGTCCATATAATTGTAAGTCAATGGGGTTATCAATATCATTTTCTAATTGGTCCTAACATAAAAACATGAAAGCACCTTATTTTCCAGCAAAAAAGTGGCCAGGACGACGTAATGTTAAAATATTCGTACCAAATTTTCGGGTTTCTCCATGGTTTCTCTGTAAAGACAAAACGGGAACGTCATATTTCACATCAATAATGTACTACATCCAAAATACCTCTATGTAGCTATGTAAACAGGCAGCTATTTAAATACCACAAGAGTAAAGTGTCAGGGGCATCTCTCTTACTCTTTATCTCCGTACTTGATATTCAATTAAACACAAACCAATTGTCAAACCATACAAAACCTTTTTTTAAAATTTGTTACATTAATCGGTGCAAATTGCGGGCTGCTTTTTCTATCAAGCTGTTGTCAATCTGTGGGTAACAACGCATCTGTCTTAGGTTTGTTGATTCCCCAAAAGTACATGTCGCTGCTTTTCAAAATTAGCCAAAATAGTTAACTTTTAATGTTATAACGCAGCTGCACTCAGAATGAGGTAAATTTAAATAATAAAAGAAAACCCTGTATCGCGGGTGCTATGGAAAAAGACACATAAATAATCTCAAATTACATCCAAACTCATGAGAGAAATAAATGTAGGCCATACAAATATTTCTACCGACTCGGGAATCGAACCCGAGACCTCTGCGTGACAGTCTAGCACGGTAACCGCCACGGAGGCAGTTACATTTTATTGCAAAATTGACACAGAGTTTTTAATTATTTTAAAATAACCACGTGATAACATCGGAGTGTATACGATTCTTCGGCTTTACGTTTTAAATATTCTGCAAATTTTTTTAAAACCAACTTCCTGATGAATTAGGTGACTCTGAGATAAGCCGCTATTCTAAAACGGCATCGATGTGTAGCTCTGTTATATAGGGTGTAAACGTTAAGGCGAACCGTCAGCCGAATAATCCAAAACGTTAAAATTTATTAAAGTTTACTACAATGGTGATTTAAAGTTCAGTTTGTCGTGCCGTTTATTAGCAGTCAGTTTTTGATACAGAAATTGACGACAATTGTCGAATACACCCTGTTTAGTGTCAAGTGCGATAGTGTAAAAGTACACAAATTATTACTTCATAGAATATTATTCTATGATAAGTATGTTTCTAGAAAATTTAACTTCTAAGGTTTAACATGAGTGTAATGCTTCCCGACGATTTATTGTCTTATTGCTTAATTGAGTAGGTGGTGTGGTATTAATTTTTACTCTTATGGCATGAAGATAAAGACTGCTTTTTATTACATTAGTGCCGCCCTGCTTTTATTACGAAAAGGGTACGCTCTCCTAAACAAAGCCATTTGAACTTGGTATTAATTTCTAATCAAGCTATCCGGTTTTTCTGCAAATGGCTGTACATTTTATAACAAATATCTTAGAATATAATAATTATTATTTATTATTAATAAGTATTGTACCAAACTGCGTATAATCTGTGTATACTTGGAATCATCATATTGATTAAATACAATTACCCATTTGCAAGCAAATAAATCTCTCTAAGTAAAACGGTTAGAAAAAGGTTATTTTGTTAATTTCTTTATATGTATTAAATTATCTATAAAGTAGGATTTAGAAGATATTCCAGATGTTTATGTACAATACTCCCACTGATTATTGAAATTATTATTTAATACGAATTTAAGCGTTTACCGAAATTCACCAAAAATATGTTGTTTTATGTTGTCGTATCTAAACATGAAAGATTGCTTTTTTTAAATGGATGTTACTATTGCCCTGTGTGTTTGAATTTTGTGACACTATGTACAATAAGACGTTGTAATATGGATAAACAAATATCAATACGCATAATGTTTTGGCGCAGGTTGTAGTAATTTTGTAATTTTACAATAAAATTATCTAATTACTTAAGAAGTATTCTTTTTTATTTCCATTCCAACACGTATTAGTCTTAAGCTAGTAGACACATTAATTTATAATAATTATAGGTAGCAGTGTAGCATCGTCGTCTCCAGCTTCTTATGGCAGTTTAAATAAATTTCCGACATCCGTTAAAGATATATGGTGTTCATCCCATGGTTGTAGCGACATAAATTATGTAGTAAAGCACTCACAAAATTATTTTTCCCGAGGGAAATCAATAAATCGGAATGGAACGGATAATTAAATTTTAATGGGCCACGTTTACACTTGGAGATATTTACGGGCTCAATCTGACGCCTACATGTTTTATTTATTAGACTCCGCTGCTGCGGGCTCGCCGCTGCCGACGCCCTAGGAACCTCCAATTTTGTTTACCTTTTTATTGCGCCTGATCATCACCGCGAACAATTCCTGGGAAAGTTTATGGCATTCATTTACGGTGCATTTGTGGCGTGTGTACGCTCGACACGAGGCCGACACTCGCCGACCACAGACGGTGCAATTCATAAGTCGGTTACAGCATCCCTATTTGAATGCGTTGTTTTGGAACGGTAGAGAAATAGTTATTTCACACAGTCACCACAAAAAAGAATGCAACACGACATTTCCTAGCGAGTTAATGTGCTCTCGGCCGATACAAATTAGACTCGTTATTGCGCGCCGCAAACGGCGGAGTGCCCCTTTGCATGCTTCGCTGACAATGGCGATTGTTGTCTTTTTGTTAATATTACGGGTTTATTTAAGTGAAATTGGATAAATGGTCATCTCGCGATATTTCGCTGTTCAATTCAGCGCGGCGTGTCGCGGTGCGGTGTCGGTTCGAAGTGCTCGTCGCTCCACCGAGCCAAAATAAAACCAAAAATCGGGAAGAAAAGAAAGTATAGATTGTGGTGTAAAACAAAATGTGAACGTCGGTACACCGGTGTTATTGAGTTCTTTTGAGTTTGGAACACTGCGCGTTGCGGTCTGTTGTGCTGTGGACTCGTTGTTCATGTTGCTGAGATGGATTTGGCCAAATATCTAGCAGTGCTGGTGTTATTTTTCTTCGATGGAGGCGAGACTGGCGGCCACGGAGAGAAACACCAGTAAGAATTTAATTTCAGATCATTTGTTTAAATAAATTTACTTGCGACTTGTGACATTGCGAAACCCGCTGACGAATTTCTGACACCACCAATTAATTATCCATAAAGCGACATGTGTGTATTTGTCTATCGTAATTTAAAAGCTCTAAAGTAGGTACCAAACAAAGTAGTAAAAAGCTCACTGCGAACTTTATTGTGCTAATCAAGCTTGATGTATATATTTAATCTTCAAGGTTTTAATTATGATACACCTGATTTATAATACATGAAGACATTATTTACAAATATTAAATAATTAACTATTGGATATTCTTTTCCAGTACTCATGTGAAAGTGCACATCCCGGAGTTTATACACCACGATCACCATAAGAAGGTGATAACCATCCACCATCATCACCACAAGCCAAAGAAGGAGCATCATCACCACCATCATCACCACCACAAGCCTCACATACCATATGGGCACCACTACCATCATACACACAAGAAAACGCACACTGTATTGAAGGGTACTGAGACAAAGAACCAAGGCCATCACGGACATCATGAACATCATGGTCACCATCGACACCATGGCCACCATGGCCATCACGGTCACCACGGGCACCACCATCACGACACTCCATCGTACAGTTACGAACCCAGTTCAGTACCTTCGTACGAGGATGATTATGCATCCTCTGGTCCGTCGGTACCGTCCTATTCTCCGATCACTATTCAGTCCCCCCATGTACATGGCATACAACACACAATAAAACAGGTCAAAGTCTTCGATTCATTACCAGGAGGATTACCCAGTGCTGGTAAATCCCACGGGTACCAAGTCACCGAAGAGGACGACGGGGATGAGGGTGAAGACCACTTTACTTCACTCGAAGGTATTCAGCAGGCATACCCGGGCACCTACAGCTTCATCAGCGGCGTGTCCTCCGATCCTGTTACGTCACACGATCCGTTTGCACAATTGTCTCCACATAGCGGTGTGCAATCCTCGAATAGCGATCTGTTTGCAAACTCTCCGTTGCCCACTTCCATATCGGACGTCGAAACGTTTACTGGTTCTGCTCAGCACAATCCATTTGCGTCTTTGGGACCGACGCAAAGCGCGTTACCAAGCGCACAGTCTACGCCAGAGTTTTCAGTAAGTTTCCATGGAGATGATGGTGGATTTGATAATCCAGAGAATTCTTTCGTCGGCGACATTGACGGGACGAACTTGTTATTGAGTGATGACAAATCCATTAGCGAAGATGCCCCAGTCTCCTTTCAAAGAGAAGCCGGCGTTCAGGAGTCTATTACGACCGGTGGGGTCGAGAGTGTCACTTATTAGTTGTAAATTAAGTGTTAATGTATTTAAAGTACTGCAGTGATCGATTACTATAATTGTGATAAATACGTACACACAAATTGTAAACCGTATCATGAAAACAAACGGATTTCCATCAAAAAAGAGTGTAAATTAAGAAATTACAAGTACAAAATTAAAAAATAATATTTGCCTATAAGTTAATTTAATTGTTACTATGTTATGGATATTAATTATTATTGAAAGGTATAAATAAACAAGAACCTATGTTGTTGATTCTTTAATAGTGATTTGAGTATCTGTTTTATTCTATGCAAGAGTTCCTTTTATGTTTGATAACTAACTACAGATTCAGTTGAATGCAATTATGTCATCTAGCTTATTTATTGCTGCCAAAAGGTAGATGACATAGGATTAGACACGCCCTACTTCCGACACTGCGAGACAAAATTAAATAATCGACGTAACAAAATGATATATAAGCAAAAAGTGTCGATATTGCATAACGGCATGAAATTGTATAATTGTAATAGCTCCTACAGCACCCAACATTTCTCAATTTCAGCTCTACTTATCGTCGACAAAGCTGGTATTCCATTACTTTTTATTTTGACTGTTGTTGATAAAGCGGCGAGATTTGATATTTTTAAGACGCTGAGACTGCCTGACTAATTCGTACCTTTGGTACAATAAAGACACATTATGATAATACATTATTAGCGCTACTATCACATGAAAGTCATAAAAACAATACGAACTACACGAAACAAAAATACGTATATACGCATTGACTTACAAATAAATGGACGACGGGTCTAATACAAAAACCACGAAAAAAATGTCCCAAGTCAACCTATTTAATCGTAGTGACCTGTAAAGGAATATGAAAAAGCTAAAATGTTGAATTTAAATTGTAATGTCATCGCAGTACTGTCTAATTCTGCGTGCTTCGCTGTCAGTCGAACAAACGAAGACTAAAGCGTGAATGACGCTCTGTATACGATTTTAACGCCCTATAAGTTCGGACACTTTTTAGCGCGGACCCGACGTCCACATAATTGTAAGTCAATGTATATACGCGAAACTTTATATTTATCATTAACGGGTAGAAGTTTAGCAGAATATTTAACCTTTCTTCTGAAAAGTAATTAAACGGTTTCAGGCATTACTTTGTGGAAGTCCATGTTAATAAAAATGGAAGTCAATTAATTTGCCACTACGCGAACCCAGTGTAGGT